AGCAGCACATTTCGGGAAAACACTTGAAATATTAAGTAATGCGTGTTTGTTGGAGTAAGAGTCTTACACGATCACACACCTGTGACTGATCCCAGGCAGAGGTGGGAAGTAGTGGAGTACAAATACTTAAGTACATGTTTCTGGTATCAGTACTTTACTCCACTACTTATTTTTCTGACGACTTTTTACTTTGACTTCTTACATTTCGAACCCAAATACCTGTACTTTCTACTTCTTACATGTTGAACCCAAATACCTGTACTTTCTACTTCTTACATTTTGAACACAAATACCTGTACTTTCTACTTCTTACATGTTGAACACAAATACCTGTACTTTCTACTTCTTACATGTTGAACACAAATACCTGTACTTTCTACTTCTTACATGTTGAACACAAATACCTGTACTTTCTACTTCTTACATGTTGAACACAAATACCTGTACTTTCCTTCTTACATGTTGAACCAAATACCGTACTTTCTACTTCTTACATGTTGAACACAAATACCTGTACTTTCTACTTCTTACATGTTGAACACAAATACCTGTACTTTCTACTTCTTACATGTTGAACACAAATACCAGTACTTTCTACTTCTTACATGTTGAACCCAAATACCTGTACTTTCTACTTCTTACATGTTGAACCCAAATACCTGTACTTTCTACTTCTACATTTTGAACACAAATACCTGTACTTTCTACTTCTTACATGTTGAACACAAATACCTGTACTTTCTACTTCTTACATGTTGAACACAAATACCCTTTACTTCTTCTTACATTTTGAACTCAAATACCTGTACTTTCTACTTCTTACATGTTGAACACAAATACCTGTACTTTCTACTCTTCTTACATGTTGAACACAAATACCTGTACTTTCTACTTCTTACATTTTGAACCCAAATACCTGTACTTTCTACTTCTTACATGTTGAACCCAAATACCTGTACTTTCTACTTCTCACATTTCCCAAACAGGCTGGTTCCTTTAGTTTGAATGTGTGTTTGGTGGCGTGATCATTATTATTTAGAGTCATTGCGTGCCTATTGATTTGAACACGATCCGTGTATCCATCATTTCCTGGTCTTCTCTAAAGAAGAGGGACCAATGAAAACGTTGTCATGTTGCCGTTGTTCAGCATGGAACATTCATTAGCTAACAATGACATTATTGTTCTATTAATATAAGGGAGGTCAGGTACTCTTTAAAACAGCTGCTAGTTATGGGTACTTTTTACTTAAGTACATTTCAAAGCCTCTTTACTTTTACTTGAGTAAAGAAGTTTAGTCAGTACTTCTACTTTTACCACAGTATTTTAAAACACGAGTACCTGTACTTCTACTTGAGTGAAGGATGAGTGTACTTTTGCCCTCTCTGATCCCGGGTCACTAACCTGCGTCTCCCTCTGCTCCTCTCCGGGGGTCAGGGCTGCTCTGGGCTCGACCTCTTCCCCTGCCGCTTCAGATGCCTCTTCTACTGCTGACTGCAAACATGAACAGGTAGGTGTTTAAAAAAAACTAGGTTTAAAGAAAAAAATACACATTTGAAAGCTGCTTTTTAAAGAGTCCTCTCCTGCTGATGTTCAGGTGTATATCAGTATGTAGTGTCTCTACTTTAAAGAGTCCTCTCCTGCTGATGTTCAGGTGTATATCAGTATTTAGTGTCTCTACTTTAAAGAGTCCTCTCCTGCTGATGTTCAGGTGTATATCAGTATGTAGTGTCTCTACATGTCTCCACGCTTTAATGTTCAAAAAGCTCTTTATTTCTCTCATACTGTCTGTGCTGCAGCACCTCTTTTCACCCTCTGTCTGAAACCAGAGCCCAGTCTGCTCTGATTGGTTAGCTGGCCGGCTCTGTTGTGATTGGTCAACTGCTTAGAGATGTCCCTTCCCTTAGCCTATCACGTAAAATGTGTTGGAGCGATATCCAATATAAGTGTGAGTGTTACATAGTGATGTCACTGTGTGAAACATGAGCAAACAAAGCGATTATAAAAAACGACAAAAATGTCACCAAAAAAATACAAACAATTTAGTACAACGAGAGATGTGCAAGATGTACAGGGAAAATATCATATTTAAATATAAAGAGATAAAAAGGGATAATATTCTACTTTATACTTTTGGACTTCCCTACTGAGGATGTGAATCTTTAATAACTGGTCATGAATGCTTACAGGCATTTATTCTTTGCCCATTAAGGAAAGGCACTGCATTTTCTTTAGCAAAATATACTCAAACTAAGAGAACAAATAAATATATTATTGGTGCATTTTTTTATTACGGCCTGTGTTCATAGTAAAAGAGGATCATGTCAGCGAGCATAGTGATGAGTTTCTTGTTTCTTATTGGACAATAATTGAGCTCCAAGGCACCGGCCGGCTCCAATGGATTCCCGACTGACAATATGAAACTTTAAATCAAAAGAAAATCACAAATAGACATATGATGTTAAATGTGTTTTTCAGATTGTAGTAAAATTCTCTTTGCATGCAGGCCGGATATTATCAGACGATCTGGACAACAAAAAAGGACAAAATAATAAACTCTGTCTGGTTTTTAATGTAATTCTGTTCACTAGAAAACATATGTATTCTGTTGAAAGAGAACTGTAGTGTGCGGAGCTTCACTCATCTTCAGCAGAGACAGAAAAGTGTGTAAAAACAGCCACTCTTTTATCTTCAAACACAATGAAACGTAATCAGGACTTTGTAGCTAGAACCACAGAGTTATTCACACACAGACAAACCACACACACACACACACACACCTACACACACACACAGACACAACCACACATACACACACACACACAGACACAACAACACACACACAGACACAACCACACACACACACACAGACACAACCACACATACACAACCACACACACACAACCACACACACACAACCACACACCCCACACACACACACACACACACATCTCAGAAGATTATCATTCTGTCACACACAGTTTCCGTCCAAACAGCATTATCTACTGCCTCACTGGGCCGACAGAAAACAACAGAGACAAAACTTTGATACACACACACAGACTTAAAATAACAAACGCACACAATCTAACAGATTCAGACGAGACATGTAGCCATGACATGAGTGTGTGTGTAATTCAGAGGAATAAAACAACACTGGACTTACGGTTCTGTCCATCTATCATCACAATTACCACAGTGACTGGGCAACAGCTATGTGTGTGTATGTGTGTGTGTGTGTGTGTGTGTGTGTGTGTGTTGTGTGTGTGTGTGTGTATGAGTGTGGGAATGTGTGTGTCTGTGAGGGTACTGATTTCCGGCTGCTACGGAAACATAGCTTTAACTGCTTCTTTCTGTTCCTCCATCATCGTTTATCATTAATTAGATAACATGATATATTGTGGATTTTTTTTAAAGCTCTTTGGATTTTGAACGAAGAGCAAACTGTAGCCACTTTATCATATCATCATGTTTAAGTTGATGTTTGCATGTAGTGCCTCTCCTGTGACATGTCTCCACGCTTTAATGTTCAAAAAGCTCTTTATTTCTCTCATACTGCCTGTGCTGCAGCACCTCTTTTCACCCTCCGTCTGAAACCAGAGCCCAGTCTGCTCTGATTGGTTAGCTGGCTGGCCCTGTTGTGATTGGGCAACCGCTTATGGCGCGTTTCCACTACAGCGCGCAGCCCGGTTTAAGAGGGCTGTGACGTCAGCGGCCCGTCTTTGGTTGCGTTTCCACTTGGCCTAGTACCGGCCGGCGGGTCCTAATTCACAGTTTTTCTGGCCTCATAAAATCGTGGGTCTAGGGCCAGAGACAACGAGGCTGAGTCGGGCTGAGTATGCTAAACTAGAGAGAGCATCGCTGGCAAGGGGGCTACAACTACAACAAGATGGACATATTTGACCGTGATTTAATTGTAATACACGTTTCAAAATGATGCCGAAGTAACAACATACTGATACCGGTTAGTAAAAACCATGAATTAATGCTTTGTCAAGTCTGCAGACAGACGGCAGGCGAAAAACCTTTTAAAATGCTTGTTTTCTAAATGGAGATTGGCTAAGCTAACGCAGTATATGCTCCGACCGTCCACACTCACAACAACGGCCTATACAGACATAAATAAAGCAGCGACTGTATTCACCATGACACAGACAGTCTGTGGTTTGTACTTGTTTAACTTTTGTCTAGTTTCTGAACATATATGAGGAGCTGTGAGCTCTGAGTGCTAACAGCTAACGGCTGTGTTGTTTTTTCTGGGGTTCTCTGAAGATCACGTCACGGCTCCGCCTACACTGCGTTACTATAGATACTACCCCAGTTCCTAAACTGTAATGGAAATGCGCCATAAAGTGAGCCAGTCCTAACGAGGCCCAGCCATACCGAGCGGGGCCGAGCGAGGCCGTGTAGTGGAAACGCGCCATTAGAGATGTCCTGCCTCTTAGCCAATCACGTATAATGTGTTGGAGCGGCAGCCAATATAAGCGCAACCTATATAACACACTACAGGAAAGAGAAACCCCTTGATAGGATAACAGGGCCTCTTTTGCAGTCTTCAAGCCAGCATACTTGTCTGGCTATTCTGACCCCAAATCCTCTGTGAAGTGGACATATAAGCAAGAAGGTCAAGGCCCCGTGTTAGAATGAAAAAGTAGGTCTTAATTGCCTTCATACTACAGCACATGATTTGAAAGGGCAGCTGCAGTACATCATAAAAGTAAAAGTGTGAAAAAGGGGAGATGTTACTTTCCCTTTTTGTATCTAATGATTGCAGCTTCATGGCAGCAGCTGAAGGTTTTATTGCCTCAGATATTTCAGGGATTTAAACTGAGGACCATCCAATAATAAGCCTGCTTCTGTCACTTCATGCTGCTGCTGCTGACTTCTCTCTGTAGTTATGTGTTTGTTTGTTTTTATGATAAGATCAACCTTTATTAATCCTTGAAATGCAGGTGTCAGAGCAGCAAAAACAGTGAAACAGGATAATGAAGAAATCCAGGTTACAGTATAACTAAATGAGGTTTACATACAGTTATGAAAGAAGATAATTATGAATCGATATGTATACATGTCTAACGATGCATGATATGTGCATTTCTCTGCTCACCTGTTCCTCTGCAATCGTTTCCTCCTCTTTCTTTTCTCCTTCCTCACTCTCTGGGTCTGTTGTTTTTGTTTCTCCTGCAGGAGGTAGAAGCTGCTCAGAGACAGACTCTTCTTCTCTCTCCTCACTGTGCACCTCCGCAGACTCCTTAACATCGGTCTTGGACTCTGAAGCAACAAAAAGACGACACTTTTTAAAAGGGGGTTATGGTTCAAACGTATACATTATAGGTCCAGCTTCAGTTCACTTATAGGTAGACTTGGTTTGCAGATACAAGACGATGGATCCGTTATGACACACATTCTTTTAAACGACAGACAAATCTCTACAAAGAAAGTTCCCACTGCTTCATCACCTCGTACAAACATGAGCAATCCAGAAAGCTAATAGATAAAGCGCCATTTCTTCCATAGCATCTGTGTGACACTGTCTGCTACAACTTGTTAATTTGTGCGATGGCTGCTGCATTACAACGTATTTAAATTTACCAGCTGGAGGTTTTGCATCCACATGATTTTCCTCGCTGATGTTGTTGAGTTTGGCGTCTGCGACATCTTCTTCTTCGCTGGTGGCAGGTTCTGGTTTGATGCCGTTCTTCTTCAGATGAGCGGCGTCTTCTGCCTCCTGCTTGGCATCCTGAGCTAGAGAGCACAGCCTATAACACAAAACACACACCTCCTTTTATTACTGGCACTTTTGTTAATACACCTTTCGCTCATTTAAAAGACAGGGAAGTGCTCATACATGCATGTGTTTCTTATAATCTCAATCCAATCCATACATCAAACTAATTCGTAGCACTTTTGAATTGCCTTGTGTTGAAAGGTGCTATATAAATAAATTTGCCTTAGCAGGTTTTAGTATACGCAAGTGACCGCAGCATACCAAATTGAGGATGTTTCTCAATCGCGGAGTACGCTTGCTTGGTAGCACATGTCTGCCGAGCATCTTGCTTCAGAAGCGAGGCAAGAATACTTCCTGCCATTCGGAAAACAAAAGAGTGGAACAGGCTAGCAAGTGTGCAGGTGTGCGTCATATGAGAGGCCCCGCCTCTTACATCTTCCGCCACAGATTTGGGGAAATTGGTCCGTGCGCAAGCATTGTGGGGATTTTAAGACCGCGAAGTCTACTCATGTGCAGCCTCGATATTTCTCCAAACGGAGTACGCCGGGCTCGGTAGATTTCCAAGTATGCTGGAGATTGGAACAGTACTTCGGCGGCACTCTGATGACGTAGTATGCTTGAAATAGTGGCTCTGAAGCAGCTTTACTCGCGATTGAGAAACACCCTGAGTTTGCTGTTGATAGATACTTTTCTCCCACAATGCAATGCACAGAGGAAATGGAGGAGCAACCTACAGCTGGAAAATTATTTTTATTTATTTTTAAATGGTGGATTTTGGCCAAAACAGCTCCAAAAAGACCTTAGAAAACAAAGTTATCAAACTAAAAGACACTTGCTGCCGTCTTCATGAATGTCATTTTTTATAACTTAGTGATAAAAACAGACATATTGTGACCCTTTATTATATTGTACTGATTTATAGAATGACATGAAGGCACAGCTCAAGTCTTTTGTGGCATGTTTTTTGTCTTGTATAAGTTAAGGAGTTTCTGAAAAATGGGGTGAAGTGCTTAAGGACATTTCTTGAGAATAAAAAACAAGATCAAAGTGCTTCCCGCGTCATCGCTGCAGAAAACTGACTGGGGATCAGTCCATCATGAGTCGAGCAGCCAAGAACTACAGATGTTTCTGACTGTCACTGTGAGAAATTCAAGAGTCTGAAGGATGTTTACAAGCAGAGTGAATTATTCTGACCACGGAATGTGTTTGAATGTGACTGATGAGCAGAAAGAAGTGTCATCCAAATCTATTTGTATAACTGAAATGAAACCTCAACTCCTGCAGCTGTAGGAAAAGGGGAATTATAAACAGTATTGTCTCACATTCAGACCAATGTCATAGACTTGTATTGACTGGCTTTTATTTACACTTGGGAAATCACAGACATGAGGTGATGTCATTCATTCATCACTTATCTGCCGCCTGCTTAATCTTTTTTAGAGCAGCAGGGATTTAAATCCCAGAATGCACCGGGCAGAAGGCCAGGCGGTCATTCACGAACAGGGACATCCTGTTCAAAGGGACAGATTTAAATCTGCAATCCACCAAAGCTGCATGCTTGTCTTCGGAGTCTACAACCGTAATTCGGAAAAAAAAAGCACGGTAATGAAATACAACGATAATGGACAACACTGTAAAGTAAAGATGATTGAGTAATTGAATCATCATCAAACATGGCAATATGACTCATGTTCAAGCCCCAAAAACCCTAACAAAGGGGGCTTTACAGTTTGTACAGAATACGGTATCATCTGTCCTTAGAGCCTCCATCGTACAAGGATTTAACTCCTGAAGAAACCCCACTATTAATGGGGAAAAAATGGAAGAAACCTCAGGTAGAGCAACAGAGGAAGGATCCCTCTCCCAGGACGTTCAGATGTGCAATAGGTGTGAGTACATTTAAAAGATAATACATTTACAACATAGGTAGTAGGTGTGCGTCAGGCAGGACCAGAGCAACAGGCACAGCATGACTAATGATCCAGGAAAATACGTTTAACCCTGGATCAATGGGGACATCGCAGCCTTTTTTGATAGGAAGAAGCAGGAGACTTTGATGGGGCTTAAGGCATGGATGTATTAACAGAGGTGGATACAGCCTTGGGGGTGGGGCACCGTTCGTTCCTGTAAAGGTTGCACAGTCCTGAATGAAGAGAGCAAGAATCCTGAGGTCTTCTGAGGATCTTCGGCATCATAGCGCATGCACTTTTGCGTTTCCTTAAACAGCTGCTGCATCACAGGAGTTTCTCATTCGGTGTCAGCTTAGCCAAATAAATTAAGGAGGGTAAATATTTATGGGTTTGAGTTTTAAGATAAGATAAGATGGACCTTTATTTATGCCTGTTAATGTGTCATGGCAGCAACAGAATAAGAAGAAACACAGATATTACACATGGAATATTTACGGGAATACAAATAATAAGTAAAATAAAAAAGCACATTTTACAACTTTTTGGACGTAATGTTGGAAAAAGGGCTACTGAAGTGTTCCTACTGGGTAGTTGACTAACGTAAAAAAAAACTATGATATACAGACGTCTCTTTCCCAATGCAAGTTGTAGTTTGGCCTCTACGGAAATTAGTTTCAAAGACATAGCTCACTTCCTGTGGGCTGAGGCTGTTCTGAAGGAGCTGAATTAAGAGCTTTGGCCATCTAAGCACGCCACGAAGCCAAAAGCTCCATGCTAGGTGTGGGGTTAGAAAGATAATATATATATAGTGAAGAGCAGCTGTTAACAGGAAAGTGCAAATTCCAACAGGTTGACCAACACAGAGGTGACACCAACAACACACCCGTTAGTTCAGCGGGACACACGGGGTCCTCAATCACCAGCGCCTCCTTTCACGACTCTTCCTCCTCTGTCCTAATTTATATTTTCTCTTCGTCTTCTTCCTCCTCTCTTTCCAAGGCAGTCTGGCAGTGTAGCATCCGGTCCAGACTCGAGTTACATTTTTATAAACAGATCAGTGATCTAGACACTTTTAATTAACGCAATCGGTGCTATGAGGACATTGCTTATATTGACGATACAAAGTTTTTATGGGATCGTTTTAATTGTATTGTTTTAAGTAAGTCTCTTTCCTGTCCTTCTTCCATCCCCCTTCAGATCACTCGCCTAGCATGTCCATTTTACCTGACATTATCCGAATTCTTAACAACATTTCTCATAATTTCCTTTTATCTAATCTAGTTATTGGGCACTATTAGAGTATTTGTGTATAATATGTTCATGACTGATGTGAATGCACAGTGTAAATAAACCATTGGCTGTCTATCAATTTATCTAAAACATGTAATGACATTTGATTAAAAAAAAGTTGATTTAAACATATGTATTGTTTTCTTACATGCTAGGGCTTTACTCCTGAATCCATCAACTGTTAAAGTTTGATAGGAAAAAGGTGGACTCCTCCTACTTGCAGATTGTGTAGTAACAAGTTGGACTTACTTCATCCAGCCTGAGTAGATCTCATGAAGATTGGGGGTCTCCTCTGGAGTTTCCACCTAAACAAACACAAAACATTTTTAGCAGCCTGAAAAAAAAACAAGAGGACGTGATCCAAGAATGTCTCATCTATAATCAAGAGTGGCTGGACAATATCCCTTCAACCCATCTTGGAGAAAGCTAATTTCCTGTTGGTCAGGAATTTAAAGCCACAGGCTCCCGGAAAGGAATCCATGCAGCAAGAAACAAAACTGGTAGCAAGAGAGTGAGTGGAAATGCAATGATGAGCAGGGGAACGATGCCTCTGACAGCAGTGGTTGGTTTAATTTTAGAGATTAGTGGTGAGACATTTTTCTCTATTGTAGTCTTCCTAAAACTTTGTCAGCAGAAACTTTTGACTTTATTTTTAGCCCGTGGGCCTGAAACCTGAAACCTGCTGTGACCAGCCAAGACTCTCGATGGCAGACTTTAGAAATAACACATTTGTAATTTGTCTTTATTTCAGTGCAACACAATAAGAGTGACATTATGTAGGAACATTATTGGAAAAAGGGGCAGAATAACACAGCGACTCGACAAAAGGGTTTAAAAACTTACCAAGCATAAATTGGTCTGATTTTAAATTAAGTTTTCATTAAAATGTTGCAGTTTTTATAATATAGTCTACTGAAAAATACGTTAAACGACGATATACTAGCTCGTGGTACAGCCTCTTGGTGTGTGTGGATGCAGCATGGCTCTACACGTGCACTCTGATCATTTTAGGGCTGCAGCTAATTAATCAATAACTGTTATTATCTTTTAATTACTGTTAATTTAACAACATAATTTAGTAGTTTAGCCTATAAACCTTCAGAGAACTGTGAAAAAAGTGAAATAAATGCATCAAACTTTCCCCTAGTTCCTTGTAGGACTTAAACTCAAAGATATTCAGCTTTATGAAATAAACAAATATGTAAAATAGAAACAAATGTGACAAGCTAATTCTGGGCATTTTATGCTTAAAATATTACCTGAACAATGTATGAATTATAGTTTATTACCTGCCAATTAATCAACTTACAATCAACTCATTTATTAAAATGACTCATCAATGCAGCTATAGCACATTTATATCAAAATGTACAACTTTAATCATTGAAAACACAAACATGTGAGGGGGTCTGAATGGGTCTCATTGTGCAATAGCAGGCCCTCAGCCGTGTTGTTTTCACAGCCATGCAGCTCCTGAAACATTATGTTCTTTTCCTTCAGGAGGCCTGAACACCGACACACATGTGCTCATACACACACTCACACATACATACGATGGCCTGCAAATCACTCACTGCAACACTGGAGCAAGAAGCACACTGAAATCACATATATATTTAATTCAGTTAATGTAAATAATGCAAAACGCGCATGCTCGGTAAAGAAATAGCATTAACAATGGTAAATATGATCAGGAACAAGAACACAACGGGAGAATCAGATAAGGTCGGTTTTACACTGAGTAAATCAGTGAATTTTGAATAATCTGAGCAAAAGTACCGACCTGAGCAATGTGTTTCTCCAGCACCTTGGCAGCTTTCTTGTATCCGTGCACCTTGAGGTGCTGGAAGATGAGAAACAGCAGAGTGGCGTCTTCCTCTGAAGCCATTATGTACGACTGACGGCGGGGAAACCAGCGAAAAACTGGAATATTATATTATGTTATTAACAGTTCACTTCATGCTCGCTATTTAGCGTGCAGCCATGAGCCTCTGACACACGCCCCCTTCGAAATGCATCATGGGAAGTGCCGTTTTTTCTAGGGGGCAGGAGCAGAACAACAACAAGAGCACGAATTTTTGGATTCGATCTTTATTAACATGAAGTTAAACGGACTAATGACACATCTTACGATAATATCATGATGGAAAATAGTTTTTATAAATATTACAGATATCTTTACATGTCTACTTACCCATCCTGTCCATGTGTATCCATTCATTATAAGATAAGATATGCTTTATTGATCCAGATTTGGGATATGTTTTCATCACAGCAGCATAGATAAGACATTGCACATGAATTCAAGGTAAATAAAATACAATAAAATAAATAAAAAACAATAAAAATATACATATCAGCAGCAGAAGATAAACAAAATACGCAAAACAGTGAATATAAGTTCAATAATGAAGGATATAAATCTATAGAATGGGTTTATTGGATACACAATATAAATGTATGTATATAAATTATGTATTTATTTGCTCTATTTTTGTAAAGTCTACAAGTTAGAAACACTTATTTTGTTGTGGGTGCTTAATATATATTTATATAAACGTATTTTATTATATACATGTGACCATTGTAGTCCCATCTATGATTTTCTCCAGCCTTGTTGTCCTCGTCCGTAGCTGTTGTGTCTATTTCTGTGTAAGTATATTGAGAGCAATGCAAACAAATTGTATGTGTGCACATCCCTTTATATATATATATATATATATATATATATATATATATATATATATATATACAGTCTGGTGCACATTGTGGATCGTAATTACAGTTACTACAATTATTTAGAATAAAAACGTTGAAATGTATTCTTTCTAGATGAAACTTAAAACAGGTTTAAATAGATTTAATTTGTTTGGCATGATCTTATCCATCCATGTCGTTTTTCTTTCTAGTGGTTTGATATAAGGCTAATGGCTAATTTGCCTCTTTTGATTGATCACATTTCAGAGGTCTGACTTCAGAAACATTTAATAGGACTTTCGACCTGAATAACCTACTGTTACAATGGTTATAGTTTCCTAAAAGAGTAATTTGCACACTGGTTAGACACAGTCTAGTCTCTGCCGTGTTATTAGTAACTCTATTCTGCCATGTAGTTCTAGTTTTGTAGTCCTATTTATGCTAGCATAGTAACCACATGTGAGTATAACATTACATGTTACTTGTTAGACGCTTTTATCCAAAGCGACATACATGCTCAATACTGTGGACAATCCCCACAGGAACAATTTGGGGTGAGGTGTCTTGCCCAGGGACACAACGACATGCTGACTGCAGTGGGGTTTGAACCTGTGACCCCCTGACCCCAACACCAAGGCTCTATCCACTGCGCCACACGCCTCCCATAACATGCTAACCTGCAGATTAAAGTGTCTTTTGGTCACTTCTGTATGCTTTATTAACATTGTGAATTAAATAACCTATCCATCAACTCAAACTATGCTTGACTTTAATTGACAACATTTGACCTGCAACTAGTTAGGGGTCCACACTACCAACCCGGAAGTGACAACTTTCAGTGGGCTTTAAACTAAGGGACTGTACCATTATGAGCGGAGTGCTTGGGTGCGTTTTTTTTCTTGTTTCAGCCAACAGTCTTTCTAAGTATCGCAAAAAAACTGATATTATAAACATTTCTCTTTTAGGACATTTCAAATTAGAATATACATGTAATTGTATTGCCTTCATTGATTACATTTGATTTGTCTGTACCCATTTAAAGCCCATGTAGAAGCTCCTTGGGTCAGTCCAGTTGCAAACTTGTGATTTTCTTATAAAACACATAAGAAACAAATAAGATTCGTAGTTGTTTTCACCACCTCACCCAAACCATCATGACCTGACCTCTGGTGTTGTGTTCTCCATCCGCCACGCAGCCAACACTACCAACCACGCACATACACAATATGAGCAGTTACTAAAGTTGGTACTTTTATATGTATGTGCAGAAGAGGATTAGGGCCACGAGAACACATTTTTGGGATGTGACAACAACAACAAAAGGTTGAGTTTGGACTTTTTTCTCAGAACTCAAAATGTTTATTTTTGTCACATCCCAAATGTTGGCAAAGAGAGACAGCCGATAAACCATGAATGAAAAAGAGCTCACATGCTGCATTTTTCTAAATAGGCTTGCAACAGACACCTCCCATTAATACATGGCCTAATTAGAGCTTTTATTGATTTTACTATGTTTCTTCTTGCATTATTTCTTCATATGTTTTATTGTTTTATGTCTTATTTGTGTTTATGTTGCATTGTTGGAGGAGCCTAGGATTTTAAGATGTATATTGCCATAATAACTAAACTTAATCTGGTCTTGCAACACCTTCCATTAATCATGCATTGCCTTGATTTCTTTATGGATCCTAATTTCCGTTTTCGTTTTGCTTCATCTCCTGTGACTTTTTGCAGTTGTGCAGTTCTGCACAGCTTGTTGCGTAAAGAGAGAAATTCCTGGCTTGCTCCGGAGTGCCAGCTGGCTCCTCCGGTTCTTCTCAGCCTGCAGTCAAAGCGTTTGGCCGGGGATCTGTCCGGGATTACAGCAGAGAGGGAAGTCCGACACGATGACATCAATCAAAAGATAACAAATGATCGTATTAAAGACGCGTACTGTCGTTAAACCAAGGGTGTGCAATGCCGGCTATCACCGTTTTCTCCTGTGTCAAATTAACACCAATTAAACCAAGCCTACCGGATGTTGAGCGTTTCAGTCTTCAAAATAAAGCTGGCACGATAGGAAAATGAAGGCCAGCGCGGGAAACTGAAAGAAAAATCAATGTTATGAAGTGGTTTGGCTGATTCTAATTTACTGCATTACATATGAGGATTTTTTTGCTTGTAAGATTAAAATTATATTTTCTTCAGGCAGAATCAACTTTTAATGCTTAACGTCTCCGTTACGCTTATTTTAATTGTATTATTTCGATTATAGTTATTCAATCTGCATGAAAAAATAAATGTTCAATGAAGTAAATGTATAAAGGACCATAAAAACGAAATGATGATTAACATTTCTAACATTTCTAACATTCAAATATACAAAATGTTCATTAAATATAGATATACTGTACCCATACAAATAAAATAGAATAAAATATGTGCATGGTATGACAAGTGGAAAGCCAGGCAGATACAGTACTTGAGTAAAATTACTTTTCAGTAGTTACATTACACCACTGACAACCAGAGTATCCATACAACAAACTGAAGTAGCTTAGTAACTACACACAGCATTTAAAAAACAAGAACAAAGACTATGACACCACTTTACAACAACACTTATGTGCAATATTTGTTTATTACAACTGGCTGCTACTCCTAGTTAGTCCACCCATTACTGTAACAAGACTCTTTATGTGCTATAATGATTTTACTAATGTTACATGCCACACTTCACTCTACAGTGCTACACTCATTTTATTTTACAAATGCTACTGCTATTCAAGATTCAAGATTCAAGGGTTGTATTATTATGTGTAGCTACAATGCTTTTTACCTAGGACTACCTACTTGAATGTGTACTTGTGTAAATTGTAATCATTTGTATTTGAAATGCTATGTGCATGCTTTTTTATATAATAGTGTTCTAGTTTCTTCACCATACTTTGCTGTAACAACGTTATGTCCCCTTTGAGGGACGAATAAAGGAATTCTGATCCTGAAAAAGCTTCCACAGGTTCTGCTGTTGTGTGTTTTATTTTGACAGGTCACACCGGAAGTTCCCCCCAGGTGTTGTGTCTGACTTGACTTTGGTCGTATTTCATTATTGAGTGTGGACTCTCAGACTGAAGGAAGGAAGGAAGGAAGGAAGGAAGGGTTTTTGTGGAAACTTGAGGACATGCGGCGTCTTCTGCAAACTTTACTCAACTCTGTGCCAGCTGAAGAAAGACCCGAAGAGTGAAGAATGAACTGAGGAGAGGAAGAGTGAGGAGGGGAGGAGGGGAGAAGAAGAACTGTTCACTCCCATTGATCCAATATCGAGGTATTGATTTAGGCCTGGCTTTGACATAAAACACATCTGTAGTGAGGAATAGATGTATGTGTGTGGAGCTGTTTGCACCTGGATCAAACTGTGATGTGAGGCTGAAAGCACTGTGTTATTGGACTACAGTGCATTAGTAACTTGATAACATGCTGCAGACTTCAAACCCCATTTAATGCAGGACCAGTCTGTGCTTGCAAAGCTGCAGAGCTGGGAGAAGTATACTCAGATCTTGTACTTAAAAGAAGTAGAAGTACCAGAGTGTAGGAATACTCTGTAAAAGTCCTTCATTCAAATGTTACTCAAGTAAAAGTACAAACGTTTTAGCGTCAACATATAGTTAAAGTAGTCATTGTGCAGATTGGTCCATTTCAGAATAATATATATGATATGTTTTATAATGATTGATCATGAAAGTGTTATCAAAGCTGGTAAAGTTGCAGCTAGTTTTGAATGACTTTGTATACTGCAGGGCAGCTTGTGAATTTACTCCAGGTGGAACTAAAGTCTGATTTAACACTTGGTTATATTTCACATCATTCATCCACATCTGTAAAGTAACTAAAGGTATTAAATACATGTAGTGGAGTAAAAGTACACGATTTACCACTGACTTGTAGGGGAGTAGAAGTACAAAGTAGCATAACATAGAAATACTCAAGTAAAGTACAAGTACCTCAACATTTCACTTAATTACCGTACTATAGTAAATCAGAAAAGCACACACAGAAAAGCAGCAGGGAACAGATGTGTGCCTTTATCATGAAAGCAGTATCTTATCTAAGGGGGAGCCAGCTGAGACATGTACAGTAGTAATGTTCGCCACACAGCTGCTTTTAGTCACTGTCATGGATATGAAATCCTCAGTGCGTCATGAGTGTAGTGTAAGCATGTCCTAGATTATACAGATGTGTACAATCTGCCTCCCGTTTCCTCACAGAACAATAATCTGCACGTCCAACTGCAGCTCTCTCAGAGACAGTAAAGGGTTAAGTTTAAAATATACCTATAAAATCAGGGAATCAGCCCTGAAACATCTGGCAGTGATTGAGGAAGTATTCAGATCCTTAACATCGGTAAAAGTACTAATACTTCACAGTGAAAAGTACTGCAAAATAAGTGATTTTCTTTTTACAATATATTAAGTTTCCGTACATTTTCTACCAATCGATCGTATTCTAATTATTTTCTAGGTACAGTAGTTTAACTGATAACCAAGCATTACATTTTTATAACCTCAAAAAATGGGAATACTCGAGTGAAGTACATGATCCTTCGATTTGTATGTAGTGTCAGTACTTCATGTACATTTACTTTGTTACATCCACCACTGAGGAGATGGCCAGTGTGTTTTATCTACAGAGGAACAAGGGTTTCTTCTCTGAGAGGCGAGAGCAGCGTCTGGCAGCATTCCTTCATGTGTTGCTCACTGCCAGTGATTCAGGCTTTAATAAATCACACACACCGCCTCTGTCTCCTTTTGTTTGCTGGAAACTTGCTGCTGGATGCACTGTTTGTTGGAGAGGCTTTCTAAAAAACGGGCTGAGGATCCGACTATTTGTGAGAAGCTTCATTTTAAGGTTTGAACTCCGTTGTCACTTTGTCACAGTGTGTTCTGTCAAAGTAGAAGTGAAATCCTAAAATAAAACACAGTCCACTTGTGCTGGAACAAGGTCTGCAGACATCTTTGACAGAAAATCATCTCAAATGTAAACTTTACGTGTTTGGTTCATGTCCTTTTAAAGTGTATATAGTATAGCAAAAGTCACCAGGATGGCCGAGTGGTTAAGGCGTTGGACTTAAGATCCAATGGGCGTCAGCCCTCGTGGGTTCGAACCCCACTCCTGGTATTATGTTAGGGAGGCTGTGGCTCAGTGGGATACTGCGGCCGCTGATCTTCGGATCTGAAGGGAATCAGACAGTTCACCCCAAATGCCTCCTGTGGGGATTGATCACAGTATTGAATGTAGTCAAGTTGCTTTTGACAAAAGTGTCTAGTGACATGTAATGTAGTATATTTGAGTTTTTTTCCCTTTGGCTCAGGCAAAACAAGCTATCACATCGGATGCTCACAACTTATTGAGGTTATTTTTCACATTTATAACCAATAAGCTGATTAACAAGTCAATTAATTTGTTGAACAACGCATTAGCAGATCCATTGAGTTTGACAGTAACCTTTAATGTGTGCTCTCAAATCCATTGCAACACACACACAAAATAATATACAGACAAAAACTGAATATTTTAAGTTTCACGACATTAAAAGTGTGCGACAAAATCAGCTTTTTTGCTAATTAAGTAGGCAGATATATATGTGTGTAGATAACATCTTAATATAACGAGTTTAAATTGAGTAAAGATTTTGAGTTTGGACAATATTTACCATTAGGCCAGATAAAACTGACTAGTTAAATTGTGGTAGCTCTCCTTTTTAAAATTGCAAATCAATGAGCAAGATATCTTTATGCCGGTCCTTGTTTTTCACACGATTCTAACAAAAATAAAGTACCTTAATCTGTCCCAGCTGGTTGGGAAAAAGGGGCGCAACACATAACCAGATGTACTTGGTAAAACGATTGTTTTTTTTTTTAATGATAACTCATATCAAATGGCATACACAGAGTTATCTAATCAACAAAGAGTCTATTGGGTTCTGGTTAAAGCAAACAAATAAATATAACACAAAGAGGACTCTTAAACTAAAAGCTATTTACAATTCTAATTAAGGGGACCAAACAATAAAGAAAACCTCAATACTCCAGTGGTTTATCAATCAACTAAAATACAGCCAATGACAGCACCCCTGCTCCTAATGCCGCTAACATGAAGTTAAGTTCAGTTTAAACTCTAAAACATGGCCCATATATTCAATATAACCACATATCTGTACAGAAATAGAGGATATTGTCCGTGCTGCACAAAAGTCACATTCAGAGTTTCTGCTCTCTCAGACACAACTTATATTTTCATCATAAATTATTGTCTTTATACAATTCCAAAGATGATATCTGGTGAAAGACCTCCTCAGAGTTTCTTGCAGCAGATTGATGTGTTTCAGATGTCCATTATAAATGTGGTTTTATGATCCAAGCTTAGTCTCCAGCGATGGCATGTGCGTGTGAATTTGTGCCGACTCAGAGCTTTACTCCCCTGGTGGAAGTCCTGTTTCTGTTGTTGAGGTTTCTGTTGTTCCCTGCAGTGAAGATGCACGCCGCCGCCGCCGCCGTGGCTCTCGCTGTGCTGAGTGTTTTCTGCCGCCTCGACCAACTGTCTGCAGACCGGGCCAAACAGAACCAGAACCAGACCGACAGAAACAACCAGACAGATGAGACGGAACCAAAGAAGAAGAAGAACCAGCCGCACATCATCTTTATCCTCATAGACGACCAGGTGTGTGTGTGTGTGTGTGTGTGTGTGTGTGTGTGTGTGTGTGTGTGTGTGTGTGTGTGTGTGTGTGTGTGTGTGTGTGTGTGTGTGTGTGTGTGTGTGTGTGTGTGTGTGTGTGTGTGTGTGGGAATGTGCGAGGGAATGTGCACTTGTTTTCATGACAAATAAGGACAATTTTATGATAACACACCTTCACTATCAGGACACTTGGAAAAATGAGGACATTTTTGGCGTCCTCATTTTTCTGAACTCACTACAGTGTTTTAAACTTCCCCAAATGCCCCTACACCAAATATCTTCAACGTCCTAAAATATCACAATTTCATGACATGAAGTGTGTGAGTGTGTTTATGGATTTTGCTCATCGATGAATACGCCAACTAGTGGTCACTTCTGGAACTTAACACACTTTTCACACACTTTAGTCACGTGACTCAAAAGGTCCTCATAAATCTCATATTTTTCAGGTTCAAACACACTCCAATGTTTTAAGCTGGTTTTAGTATTACTGCAATATATATGTATTTCCATGGACTCGGAGACAACTAAAATAACCAACAATTAATTACTGCTGATTTTAGTCACCTGCCTTATAATCTAGAGAACTAGTTATTCCATCATTACTTTTATTTACATCGAATAGCCAGATAAGCTAATGTTAGCTTATTAGCTTAACGTAGCTAACCGCATGCAAAGGACCCCTGACACATGGAAGATTCTCTCGACAGAACTGGAAGGATTGCACACTAAATTGAGGTAATTCATTACTTTTTCTAAGATGTTGTTACTGAAGCACAAGATATTATTTTAAAATGTGAATTGTAACAGTGGTTTCCAATTTAACACCAAATTGATAGATATTCAGTAGACCTAGTAAGTAATGTTATTTGTGGAGCTTACCGTGTTTTAGTAATTTTATAACAGTATTTACCTTTGAAGACGCTTTGTCTGTGCTCTTGTAACATTATTTGTTGAGGTGTTAAAGTAACTTGAAGTTAAACAATTCTAATTGCAGTTGCCCAGGGTTTGCACTGAACAGTTAGCTTATCAAGCTAATAGGATCCTGCATTAGTGAGAACATGAGTTAGTAAGTTATGATTAAAGAATAAATAATACCATTTTATAAAACATAATTGATACAAATAAATTAGAAATGTAATTTCTATTTGTTCTTGTTGACTTTTTGTCATTCTTCCATGTAGATGTTTGCTAATTGAGGAACAAATGGCGAGTGTAGAGTGTGTGTGTTACATCGTCCTCATATTGTTGGGTAGCAGATATTGTACAGTTCAAACTATTTCTATAGAGTCTTGAGTTACAAGCCCAGATCCTCATGTGAATTGTTTTTACTAAAATGTGTGTCCCCTACATGAAAAGTCAATGGATTTCTGACACGTTATTGTTGTATTTTAAATTGCAGAAACTGAGTGACATGATCCCGGCTCAGCCTTTAGCTGACTCTGAAAGGAGCCAGAGATCCACCTCATCCTTCCAACAGGTAATTAAACATTTACTGTAGACTATTTCTATACAAGGTAAATTCATGTCTCAATCAAGTCCAATGCACACATATAATGCCTTTTAACTGCATTAACACAAAGGTGTTGTGAAAAAACTTTCACAATGTCAAGACTGACTGTTGTTTCTAAATACCATAGTGGAAAGATATACCCCTACCATTTGATAGCAGTAACTACCTCTTAAAACATGAAAATTATCTTTATTGCCCCTAAATTCTGTGTTTTGTCTCCTTTTGCCAATGTATTTGCCAATTTAACCTAATGTGTATCAGTTTACATGATTTAATTAATAGGGAAGTAGATCCATACTTATTACTATGGGGGTTTCAGGTTTTTTGAACAACATCAACACACCTCAGAAGTCAGGAACACTGACTTTATGTAACTTCAGTCGTCATGTCCTCATTTTGTTTTAGGTTGTGTAGTCATGATGTGTTTCAGAGAACGTCCCCATATGGTACAACCCAACGAGTTTAGAGTGTGTGTGTTACATCGTCCTCATATTGTTGGGTAGTAGATATCGTCTTTAGGTTGAATAGTCATGATGTGTTTCAGAGAACGTCCCCATATGGTACAACCCAACGAGTGTAGAGTGTGTGTGTTACATCGTCCTCATATTGTTGGGTAGTAGATATCGTCTTTAGGTTGTGTAGTCATATTGTGTTTCAGAGAATGTCCCCATATGGTACAACCCAACGAGTGTAGAGTTTGTGTGTTACATCGTCCTCATATTGTTGGGTAGTAGATATCGTCTTTAGGTTGAATAGTCATGATGTGTTTCAGAGAACGTCCCCATTTGGTACAACCCAACGAGTGTAGAGTTTGTGTGTTACATCATCCTCATATTGTTGGGTAGTAGATATCGTCTTTAGGTTGTGTAGTCATGATGTGTTTTGGTGGACGTCCCCATATGGTACAACCCAACGAGTGTAGAGTGTGTGTGTTACAACGTCCTCATATTGTTGGGTAGTAGATATCGTCTTTAGGTTGTGTAGTCATATTGTGTTTCAGAGAACGTCCCCATTTGGTACAACCCAACGAGTGTAGAGTGTGTGTGTGTTACATCGTCCTCATATTGTGGGGTAGTAGATATCGTCTTTAGGTTGTGTAGTCATATTGTGTTTCAGAGAACGTCCCCATTTGTTACAACCCAACGAGTGTAGAGTGTGTGTGTTTCATCGTCCTCATATTGTGGGGTAGTAGATATCGTCTTTAGGTTGTGTAGTCATATTGTGTTTCAGAGAACGTCCCCATTTGGTACAACCCAACGAGTGTAGAGTTTGTGTGTTACATCGTCCTCATATTGTTGGGTAGTAGATATCGTCTTTAGGTTGAATAGTCATGATGTGTTTCAGAGAACGTCCCCATTTGGTACAACCCAACGAGTGTAGAGTGTGTGTGTTACATCGTCCTCATATTGTGGGGTAGTAGATATCGTCTTTAGGTTGTGTAGTCATATTGTGTTTCAGAGAACGTCCTCATTTGGTACAACCCAACGAGTGTAGAGTGTGTGTGTTACATCGTCCTCATATTGTTGGGTAGCAGATATTGTACAGTTCAAACTATTTCTATAGAGTCTTGAGTTACAAGCCCAGATCCTCATGTGAATTGTTCTTACTAAAATGTGTGTCCCCTACATGAAAAGTCAATGGATTTCTGACACGTTATTGTTGTATTTTAAATTGCAGAAACTGAATGACATGATCACGGCTCAGCCTTTAGCTGACTCTGAAGCGAGCCAGAGATCCACCTCATCCTTCCAACAGGTAATTAAACATTTACTGTAGACTATTTCTATACAAGGTAAATTCATGTCTCAATCAAGTCCAATGCCTACATAAAATGCCTGTTTACCTCATTACAATTAATATATTGTTTAATAAATGTAGAATCTCAATATAACTGTTACTTGTTTCTAAATATCATAGTAGAAAGATATAACCCTACCATTTGATAGCAGTAACTACCTCTTAAAACATGAAAATGATCTTTATTGCCCCTAAATTCTGTGTTTTTTCTCCTTTTGCCAATGTGTTTTCCAATTTAACCTAATGTGTATCAGTTTACATTATCTAATTAATAGGGAAGTAGATCCATACTTATTGCTATGGGGGTTTCAGTTTTTTTTAACAACAGCACACCTCAGAAGTCAGGAACACTGACTTTATGTAACTTCAGTCGTCATGTCCTCATTTTGTTTTAGGTTGTGTAGTCATGATGTGTTTCAGAGAATGCCCCCATATGTTACAACCCAACGAGTTTAGAGTGTGTGTGTGTTACATCGTCCTCATATTGTTGGGTAGTAGATATCGTCTTTAGGTTGAATAGTCATGATGTGTTTCAGAGAACGTCCCCATATGGTACAACCCAACGAGTGTAGAGTGTGTGTGTTACATCGTCCTCATATTGTTGTGTAGTAGATATCGTCTTTAGGTTGTGTAGTCATATTGTGTTTCAGAGAATGTCCCCATATGGTACAACCTAACGAGTGTAGAGTTTGTGTGTTACATCGTCCTCATATTGTTGGGTAGTAGATATCGTCTTTAGGTTGAATAGTCATGATGTGTTTCAGAGAACGTCCCCATATGGTACAACCCAACGAGTGTAGAGTTTGTGTGTTACATCATCCTCATATTGTTGGGTAGTAGATATCGTCTTTAGGTTGTGTAGTCATGATGTGTTTTGGTGGACGTCCCCATATGGTACAACCCAACGAGTGTAGAGTGTGTGTGATACAACGTCCTCATATTGTTGGGTAGTAGATATCGTCTTTAGGTTGTGTAGTCATGATGTGTTTCAGAGAACGTCCCCATTTGGTACAACCCAACGAGTGTAGAGTGTGTGTGTGTTACATCGTCCTCATATTGTGGGGTAGTAGATATCGTCTTTAGGTTGTGTAGTCATGATGTGTTTCAGAGAACGTCCCCATTTGGTACAACCCAACGAGTGTAGAGTGTGTGTGTTACATCGTCCTCATATTGTGGGGTAGTAGATATCGTCTTTAGGTTGTGTAGTCATATTGTGTTTCAGAGAACGTCCCCATTTGGTACAACCCAACGAGTGTAGAGTTTGTGTGTTACATCGTCCTCATATTGTTGGGTAGTAGATATCGTCTTTAGGTTGAATAGTCATGATGTGTTTTGGTGGACGTCCCCATATGGTACAACCCAACGAGTGTAGAGTGTGTGTGTTACATCGTCCTCATATTGTTGGGTAGTAGATATCGTCTTTAGGTTGTGTAGTCATGATGTGTTTCAGAGAACGTCCCCATTTGGTACAACCCAACGAGTGTAGAGTGTGTGTGTGTGTTACATCGTCCTCATATTGTTGGGTAGCAGATATTGTACAGTTCAAACTATTTCTATAGAGTCTTGAGTTACAAGCCCAGATCCTCATGTGAATTGTTTTTACTAAAATGTGTGTCCCCTACATGAAAAGTCAATGGATTTCTGACACGTTATTGTTGTATTTTAAATTGCAGAA